AGAATCCCAATTTTAATGATTGTTGAGAAACTGCATGTACAAAACATGATACACCATGTTGTAATTAAATGTCAGGAAGATGCCATTGTTTTCTAGTGTGTGAACTTAACAAGAGAAATGCTTTTTCTTTGAAAGTTGTTGTGGACTTTGCTACATAGATTTGCTGAAACCTAATTTTTCTTGATTGATTTAAGTTCTTAAAAGGGGAGCTGGTTCAGTTGACAGGCAAACAGTCATAAACCATGCTACTGTGATAGCTAACACAAGTAGAATTTATCTTTGTAAGAAGAAAGTACTGTTTGGGTATTCAGTCTTCTTATGGGGGGGGGCACACAAGGAGAAGCAGGGTTATGCAGCCCAGCTCTGTTTTAATAGTAATAGTAATAATTTATTGTTTATATTCCGCCCATCTGGCCGGGCCTCCCCAGCCACTCTGGGCAGATTAACTGTACACAGTTTAGAACCTTCCACGAATTTGGGGTCTGAACTAGAGAGCTGCACAACATATTTTAAAGCCCTTCAAAATCAGAGGTTTAAATCACAGAGTTTTTGGTTTTTTTTAATGCTTTTCAGATTTATACATTTCACTAATTTTACAATCATTTTAACATTTCAAAACTTCATTTCCTTCCCCCTCTTTCTGCAGTTCCTTAAGTTTATTTTTAATATCTTCTGCATATCCAAATTAACTTAATTTGCTCATTTATTCATCTACTTTAAATATATACTCTTATAAAACTGCAGGTTATTACAATAATCCTGCCAGTGTTCTTATCTGTTTACAATTTATTTGTAAATATTCAATAAACCATTTCCATTCTTTTATAAAAAGTTTGTGATCTTGATTTCTTATTCTTCCAGTAAGTTTCACCATTTCTGCATATTCCATAAGTTTTTGTATCCATTCTTGCTTTGCTGGGACTTCTGCTTCTTTCCATTTTGGGGCAAGTAACATTCTTGCCGCTGTAGTAGCGCAGAGATTCTTCACAAGTAGAATATGTGTTCCTCCTTGTGTCTTTCTTTGAATGTGATCTGTTCCATAGTAGAACAAACTCCCTTTACTTCCTTGGAGCTTTTTAAGATTCTAAGACTGAGCCCCCAAATAGGGCAAGAGTTTCTGATGCAGTCTGCTGTCAGTAGGCAGTTGCTTTGTGAAGGAAAGTAGCTTCACTGCTGTATCAGTTACATCAGCCCAAGTACTAATTTTGGGACATTGCAAAACATACTGACTGTTACTGGTGGCCTAAGTTCCTGGCTTTCTCTGCAGTAGTAGGGTACAAAGGTAACAAATGGTAACAGACCGTTACAAATTCAAGTAGACTTGGTGACTTTTAGCTACAAGAAATAAAATTGAAACCTCTGTGTTCAGTGGCAGTACACCTCTAATGATCAAATGCTGGGGTCAAAAAGGGAATGGGTTTTTTGTGACTTCTGAGGATTATCTAACAGGCCACAATTGAGTACTGAACTAGACTGGCATCTGGTCAAATAGTGAGGCAGCTAGAAGTGGAGCATGTTTCGCTAAAGAGCAAAAGAAGGGCTTTCACTGGCAGTTTCCTTGTTTCCCTAGCCCTCGTCTTGTTTCTGAGATTTCAAAGGATTATTCTGTATATTGTCCCCACAGTCATAAAAATCTCAGGATTTAAAGCATAACTTGTTTTAGCTCTCAGCAGTATTTGCAAAATAATATGTAATCTCATTTTCTGTTAAATGAACGATGACAATTTTTTGAATGACATCTAATGATACATGCCTAATTTGCCCAGTGCAAAACTTGTGCAACATGGGTTAAGTTTCTTTTCTCCACCCCAGCCCTCTGTGCACCCCAAAGCATTCTTTGTAGAATCCTCTGGGGCAATATTTTTTTCCAAGGTGTCTTCAAAGGGAGGACAGGAAGGAGAAGTCCTGTTGCGCGAGTGGATCTTGCCCATTGAGTGTACTTTCAGATGACACCTTAATGAGTAGGCTTTTCTGCAGTGAAACTTGCTTTGCTTAGTTCTTACAAATGAGCTTGGACTGCTAAAAGCCACTTTGTAAAATTGTGATCTTACTTTGATCTTGTACTGAAATAATTATGCTAGTTTGGATTTTGAAATAAGTTAGAATGGGAAAGAGTTGGAGATTTATTGGCTGTATCTAGAGGATTTGTTGTTGATGATTGTCTTTATTTCCCCTAAAAAGATTTCATCTAACTTCCACTTTGATACTGGTTTAATTTAGTCTATTCTAGAGGTTTTTTTCAAAGACAAGAATGCCTTTGGGTTCTTATCATAAATGTTAGTTTGCAGCATGTACAGTATTCTGTTTTATTACAGTGAGTAAGGAGGACAGGTTACAAAAGTATAGTTATGCCTGAGGTGGGGGGGAAAGAATAGGTTCTCTTTCTCCTGATGTTTGAACCCTGGATCATCAAGTGAAACTAAATAGTGAGACATTCAGGGCAGACAAAAGGAAATACTTCTTCAAACTGCATAGTTAAACCATGGAGTTTGCTAACATGGTAGTGACCACCAACATGGACCGCTTTAAAAGGGAAATAACCTTTATCTTCCAATGGACACTAATTGGACACAACCCTTTATGAGCAAATATTATTTTATAGTACAAAAAGAAAATTTAACAGTTTCAGAATAGGAAACTTGATATAAATTACTTATTATACCGTAATTCATTTAACTCCATTATTTAAATCTAGGTGCTTTAAATCAATCAATTTTGTTAAACTTTCACCAAAGAAAATTATCTCTTCCTTTTTTCTTTTTCTTTTTTGTTATAGAGGTGACCACTGTATCACAGTGAACTCAAACAGTTCTGAGATTCCTGTTAGAGGATAGTATTTCACTGTGCAGAAATTTCTTGTACTTTTGATTTAAATTATAGCAACAGCAGTTGGGAGTTGTTGGCATTTTAAAAAGCAACTCGCCAGAAGTGTGATGACACAATTCATTTTTAGACTTCAGGTGTTTTGGCAGAACTTCCATGCTGTAGTGTAACTTATCCTAAGTACATGTAAATTCAATAATCACATCCTTTCCCTGTTGATCCTGGCTCCATTTGTTTCCCTCTCTCTGTTGTCTGTCTGGTATCCTAGATTGTAAAACCCTCAGGGTACGGATCTGTTCTGTCATTATTTGTGGATAATGCTGTAGAAATAATACTGTGTGTATAGTGTTAAAATACTGTTGTGAGTTTGCAGCAGATAGGCTGTATGCCCTGAGCCACCCTTCCAATTCCTGGATCCAGCATGGATTCAGTTGCTGGAATAGCCAGACCATCCTGGTAATGGCCCACAAAGGGAGTGGCTCTGTGCCAGAGGGCAAAGGGTTAGACCTCCCCTCCCTCAATTGTCTGTTAGAAAGACAAAAGCCCAGAGTTGAGAGTTGCGTTTTTGTGAACTAGAAGCTGGATGCGAAAGCTACAGGCTGGAAAGGCAGAGAGAGAGAGAGCCAGGCCTGATTTCCGCTGCAATCCAAGGCTGTGGCTATTGGAGAAGCAGGACTTTCTTGGGAGGTTAATGCTGTGAACCTCTCCATCGTAGGCTCAGGTTGTGTATATGTGTAAATTAAGCAGATATCATAAAGTCTCAACAGTCTCTGTTGTGTCTCATTCCAAAAGAAAACACAAACCCCGGGTAAGTGCCTGGGACCCCTGGAATCTCACACCACTCGGAGATTGGGATGGCATGCAACAATACCTTAAATGTGTTTATGGGCATGTTTTAAATAAGAAATCTGATAAAAGTTAGCTAGAAATTCTTCTTAGCTTTGGTTATGTGATAGAGATCATCTCCTTATTCTTTCTGATAAGGTTTCTGGAATATTTGTTTGCACCAATTAATAGATTGTGCAGCCGTTGAGTCCTAAAGCATTCTGTTGAGAGCAACATGTTTGCAGAGTTTTCCTAATCCTATCAATCTAACTTTAGGGTTACAGGGTGTTAAGGTTGCAAAATCATGCACTAATGAACTTATATTGCAAAGTGAGTGCCTTCTGAAGGAAAGTATTGGTGCACTTTTTTGTTTGTTTGTTTAAAACTGCGTGGGAAGGAAGAAAATTATATATATATTTCTTTTTTCAAGGAAAGATTTTGGTAGAACAGAAGTTCAAAGCCGAACGCAACATGAGATCTTTGCCAACAAGAGTTAAGAGTGGGAGATGAGTTAAACTCTTGCTGCCACTGTTCTTGCATGCTATTTGGTGCCAAGTTCATTGGATCCTCTATATTTGGATATGCGACTTTGCTGCATGTACCAAGCATATTCATCAACACTTGACAGTTTCTCCCTTGGAGAAAATTTCTGTGGTTTTCCAGAAATTTATGTTTTCGATATATTAAAACCAGCTAGCAGAGAAAAACATTTTAAGCACTGGCACTGGCTGTTTGCACAGGTAGGCACTACTTAACCTTGTTCAACAAACCAGCCCTAAATACATTAATGTAAATCTCATCAAAATAAATGAAACAGGAAGCAAGTCAGCTGTTCTATTTTGATAGGTTCTAAATAAAACATTTTATTGCAACTAGGATCAAACCCAATTTATTGAGCATTTTAAAATGTGTATATTTTTTATAAATGTATACATACATTTATGCTAACGTGACTTACATGGTTAGCTACCAGTGTTTTTAGTTATACATGGGAATGCTTTTCTTATACACTTCAGTAACAGAGCTCGGATAACTGGATGGTATAGAAAAGTCTAAATAATGAATAGAGTGGCACCCAAGTTCTTTGAGCAGAACAGACTTCCATTCATGCAATCTGCTCCATAGGATTGGAGGACCTTCCTAAACAGATCTGGGAGCAGAAGCTGTACCTATGAGGCACCACTCACAGGTGCAAATTTTTATAGAGAATCAGGTGTTTTCTTTCAAGCCTTCCAGATATTTGCTCATCTTCACCTCCCCAGCATTCAATATATTGGTATCAAAAAAAGAAAGAAAGAGAACATAAGTAGTAACAGAAACCCCTTGCTTATTTAACTACTGTTCTCTTTTAGTTGGAAGATGGGGAAGAAAAGCAGAGTGAAAACTCAGAAGTCAGGCACTGGAGCCACGGCAGCAGTCTCTCCAAAAGAAATGTTGAATCTAATTAGTGAATTATTACAAAGTAAGTATGTTGTACTATAGTTGTGGTGAAGGGGATGATCTTTATAAGTTCATGTGGAAAATAGGCAGGGCTGAATTTTGTTCTATTTAAATATTTAATATTTAAATATTAAGTATTTAAATTAGGAACGGAAAGTCTATCCAGGCTCTAGCCCCTCTATTCCTGTAAAATATATTAGAGGTTCATGGCTTCAGTGAACATATGTTTTTAGTATTGGTGTTCAAATGGAAGTTATGAAATTGAACATATAAATCCATTTATGATACTCTCTTGATGTTAAGGAGAGGAGAAATGTTAAATTTCAGTGAGCAATAATGTTTGTTTATCTTTCCAGAATGTAGCAGTCCGACTCCAGGTCCTGGAAAGGAGTGGGAAGAGTATCAACAGATCCGAGCTCTTGTTGAGAGAATCCGTAAAAAACAGAAAGGTAAACAAGAAATGGCTTTTCTAATTGCTTCTGGTCAGAAGTAATTTTGGCACTGCATTTTGCTGCCTTCTGTCTTTTAAAAAAGACTCTAATTAAATTCCAAGCACACTCTGAGTCACAAATATTTCTTATTTTAGTATTCTCAAAAAGTCTGAGCTTTCATTCCTTTGCAAAAGTGTTGAACAGAGACTAGTCTGTATTGTATTTTTTTTTTAAAAAAAAACATTTTTATTTTATTCCAACAATTAAAAACACATATACATCCATAAAACATAAACTAAGCAGAAAAGGGGAAAAAAAAGAAAGGGAAAAAAAAGACCAAAATCATATTCCATACATTCTGTGTATTAAATCATTATACAGATCTGTAACATTGTTTAACTTCCCACCACCACGGCTTGAGCTGTAATTCAACAATATCTATTGCAGTGTCCTTTACCAACCATTATCTCTACTTCGCAGTTTTTATATTATACCTACTGTGATTTTGATGTTTCCTAAAATCGTCTCCATGTACGAGAGAAATTTATTCCAATCATTAATAAATTTGGTGTTTTTCTGCTGCCTAATCTTTTGTGTCATCATTGCTAAATCGATGTACTCAGTTAACTTGTTTTGCCATTCTCTAATTGTTGGGATATTAGGTGTTTTCCAATTCTGGGCTAACAGTATCCTAGCGGCTACCGTCGCATACTGAAACAGGGTTTGGTCGTCTTTCTTAATTTCATCCCCCACCATTCCTAGGAGGAATGCCTCAGGCTTTTTAGGGAAGGTATACTTTAGAATCTTTTTTAGTTCGTCATAGACAAGGCCCCAGAACCTCTTCACTTCCTCACATGTCCACCACATGTGATGGAAGTCTCCCTCTTTCTTCTTACATTTCCAGCAGGTCTTGTCCCCGGTTTTATACATCTTAGCTAATTTTGTTGGGGTGATGTACCAACGATACATCATCTTTTCCATGTTCTCTCGGAGCCCGACACATGCTGAGAATTTCATATCCTTATTCCAGAGTTTTGTCCATCTTCCATAGTCTAGGGGATATCCTAGGTCTATGGCCCACTTAATCATAACCTCTTTGATCTCCTCATCCATGGTATCCCATTCTAATAGTTGGTTATACATTTTGGATAAGAGTTTGGTCTTTCCTTCTATTATTTCTGTCTGAAATTTGGACTTGTTCTTACTCATTCCAACTTTTTTGTGTTCATTCCATAGTCCACTAATCTGATGGTATTGTAGCCATCCCATTAATTTATCTTTTAACTCTTCATAGGGCCTGATTTTCCATCCTTCCTCCGATCTTATCAGGAGGTCTGCATATGTCCATCTTTTGCCTTCCCTGTTTAGTCTTTTGTATACTAAGATGTCAATGGGTGACAGCCACCATGGGGTGTCCTTCTCTATCAGTCTCTTACATCTATTCCATACTTCTAGCAACGCCCCTCTTATAATATGGTTTGAGAATTCCTTATGCACTCTTCCCTTATCGTGCCATAAGTATGCATGCCACCCGAATCTCGCATTAAAGCCCTACAAGTCCAATAGGTCGGTATTATCCAAAACTATCCATTCTTTAATCCAGCAGAGGCATGAAGCCTCATAATACAATTGCAGATTCGGGACCGCAAACCCTCCTCTTTCTCTTCTGTCAGTGAGTAGCTTGAATTTAATTCTAGCTCTTTTACCCTGCCAGATAAATCTAGACAGGGTCCTCTGCCACTCCTTGAACATTGTCGTGCCTCTGATTACTGGGATATTTTGGAATAAGAATATCATTCTTGGAAGAATACTCATTTTGATAGCGGCCATTCTTCCCTCCCAAGAGAGCTGTAATCTGCTCCAGCTGTCTAGATCTTTTTTGCATTCTCTCCAGATTCTAATATAATTGTCTTCCACTAAATTTATATTTTTTGAGGAGAGCCAGATACCCAAATATTTCACCTTTTTCACTATCTTTATCCCTGTTTCCGACTCAATTTTGTTTTTTGATTTCTCATCTACATTCCTAGTCAACATCTTGGTTTTATCTTTATTTAATTTAAACCCAGACAACCTTCCAAATTCCTCCATTAACTCAATGACTTTGTTTATCCCTTTTGTGGGGTTTTCTACTGTGATTACTAGGTCGTCGGCATATGCCTTTAATTTATATTCTTTTATACCAATTTTGATCCCTCTTATTCCCGATGTTTCTCTTATTTTATTCAGTATAACCTCCAGGACCATGATAAATAGCAGGGGTGATAGCGGGCACCCTTGTCTTGTGCCCTTTGTGATCATGAATGATTTTGTCAGGTAGTTATTAATAATTAGTTTCGCCCTTTGACCTGAGTAGATCGATTTTATACCCTCTAGGAATGGTCCTCTTATTCCTACCTTTTCCATACATTTTATGAGGAAGTGCCAGGATACATTATCAAAAGCCTTCTCGGCGTCTATAAAGATTAAGGCGGCGGGTATGTCATTTCTGCGCTCTAGATATTCAATTATATTGATTACATGTCTTACATTATCCTTTATCTGCCTGCCAGGCAGGAAGCCGGCTTGGTCTTTATGAATCACTTTATTCAAGTATTTCTTTAGTCTGTTTGCCATTATTCCTGCAAAGATCTTGTAATCGTTATTGAGCAGTGATATTGGTCTGTAGTTTTTTATATCTAGTCTATCTGAATCTGCCTTGGGTATTACTGTGATATGCGCCTCTCTCCATGAATCCGGTATACCCCCTCCTTGCAAAATATTATTAATTACCTTACATAATACCGGGGCCAAATGTTCCTCTAAAGATTTATAGTATTTTTGAGAGAAGCCATCTGGACCTGGGGCCTTCCCAGGTTTCATTTTCTTGATTGTATACCTGACCTCTTCCACAGTTATCGGTTCATTTAAAAGTGTCTCATCTTCTTCTGTCAGTTGTCCCCCTCCATTCCTATCCAAATACCTTCCTATCTCATTTATATCTTCATCTTCCTTTTTTTTAAATAGGGCTTCGTAGAACTGGAGAAACTTTCCCTTTATTTCAGTGGGATCTTCTATTGTTTGATCTTCCAATTTAATTTTATTAATCACACTTTGTTTTTTCCTTTTCCTCAGTTGCCAAGCCAGCAACTTACCCGTTTTATTTGCCGACTCAAAATACTTTTGTTTCATCGTTTTTATTCCCCATTCTACTTCTTGATTTATTAGAGTTGAGTATTGAGTTTGTAGTAGTTTGTAAATTTGTTTAGTATTCTCATCCCCGGGGTTTGCTATTAGTTTTCCCTCTTCTACTTTTAATTGTTTGATTATTTCTCCCTTCTTTACCTCTCTTAATTTTTTTCTATATTTGTTCTGTTGGATCAGGAAGCCTCTAAGTACTGCCTTACTTGCGTCCCAGACGACATCGATTTTAGTTTCTTTATTCAAATTTAGGTCGAAATACTCTTTCAGAATGTTCTTTGCCTTACCGACAACCTCGTCATATTCCATTAGGTAATCGTTCATTCTCCATCTATATGTTCCTAAAGGCTTACACTTTATTTCCAGGGAGATTGCACTGTGGTCCGAGAGTGTTCTAGGCTCTATCTCACACTTCGCTGATCTTATCGAAAGCTCTCTGGAGACCCATAGTCTGTATTGTAGAGTGGAGCAGAGCACCTGAGTGTTGAACTTTCAGGGACCACTTCAAGTATTATGAAAGTTTAGTTGTGAAACATGTTCGTTTAGTTGCTAAATGCTTTTTATTTGTAAGCATTCCCCTTATTTAAAACAAAATAGCTGGTCTTTCATCAGTCATTACATTCTTTGTGTGTGTGCTGACACCACAACTGCTATTTTTGCAGTGTCTGCAATGATAATTTGTATTGGATGATTCATTAGTCACATTTAACCTGGTAGATTATGTTTGCGTAACTTCTTAAAACAAGTGTTTACATTTGGAAATATATTTCCTGTTAAGATTATTGTTAATGCTTGAATAGATACCAAAAATTGGGCAGTCCCATTTGCAAGTGACCACCATAGGGACTTTGTTTCTAGAAACAATCATTTTGTTTATGCTTTTTTCTTCTCCTTTATTTGTGGCATCACAGTAAAAATGTGAGTTTAATTATTGAAGTGCACATGTGGGCTGTATGTGCTTTTATTCTATATGGTAAAATGAAAATCTGTCTTAGCCTGAGCATATTAACTTTTTAAAATAAAAAAGGTAGAACAATCTAAAAGTGCTGCTGTAGACACTTCCTCGTTCACATTTATACAATAAGTATTTTCCTCATGTTTTAAAACATTGCAGTACAATAATGTTAAGAAACAGTTCATTGACCTTGTTAGGAATGTTTAACCTTTTATATCTCTAGCTACAGTAAATAATTCTGGCATTTCTAACTCTTCTCACTCTGATGGAATTCTACAGTTTTACCATTTCCCCTGTTTGCCCTAGCTTGTGAGGCTTATCCTATGCCTACTTGGAGAAAGATCCATAGGTTCATAATGATGCCAAGGAGAACTTCATTAAAGTGAACCCTCCCTAAATATAAGGCAAATTAAGATAATGTAATCTGTGGTCAAGAAAAACAAAGGAATTGTGGCCAATAGCTTTTCATAAGCATGTGACTTGACTGGCAGAATATGTGGTGTTTTCGCTGAGGAATTTGGGAGTTGCTTGAGCTCACTTTTTATTGGCACGTTGTTTTTCACGCTGAGAATTAAAGCCTTGGTTGACCAAATTGATTTGAATTGCTTGTACAGTCGTACCTGTCAGGAAAAAGCACCAAGGCAAAAGCCAGCTCCAGATGGCTGGAATGCAAAACAGGATGTTGTGGTTTGCAGATGTACTCTTGGAGAAAAGGTGGAGTCTTTGGAAGTCGAACATCTTAGTTCCCGAACATTTTGGCTCCCGAACGTCGCAAACCCGGAAGTGACTATTCCGGTTTGCAAACTATTTTTGGAAGCCAACGAGGCTTCTGTGGCTTCTGGTTGGCTGCAGGAGCTTCTTGCAGCCAATCAGAAGCTGTGCTTTGGTTTGCGAACATTTTAAGTTGAATGGACTTCCGGAATGGATTCCGTTCAACTTCCAAGGTACAACTGTATTTTAAAAGCTGCTATGAATGCTTCCTAAACGTTTTCAACGTCTGTGTGACTCATTGTGTTTTTCTCTGCTGCTAAATATGTACATAGGTTTGTCTGTCGTATTTGATGGGAAAAGAGAAGATTATTTCACTGAACTAATTAACTGGGCCAGAGAGAATGGTGCATCTACAGAGGGCTTTGAAGTGGCTAACTTTGGTGAAGAGGGTTTTGGTTTGAAAGCTACAAGAGAGATAAAAGTGAGTATAGGATGGCATTGGAAGGTACATGGGGGGCATTTAAAGATCACTCAACCAGTCCCCAGTGTGTGAAATACTAAATTGGCAGAAGACTAGATCTTTTGAAATTTACTACAGGGGTTGAGCTTGTCCAAATCATGGTCCTGATGCAGAGATCCTCATGTGGAATAGCAGGATCCTCTATCTTCCAGAAGACAGTGATGTTACAATACTGTATCTCGATGTGCTAATATGTCCCTTGTGAAAGAAAATGTTAGGTATAAATGGCCTGTCTCCCCATCCTCCTCCAATTAGTGATGCAAACATTGCACAAGCACATATAGTGCAGAGGCTTAATGGTCACAGAGTATAATAATAGTGGTTGCACCAGGTGTTGCCCAGCATCTTTCACAGGTGCAAGACTTGGACTTAGGTTGTGCACTGTGCCACTGTGCTTCCACTAGCAGAATGGCTGTTTTGCAGGCGGATTACCACAATTTGTTACCATCCAGTATGTTTATCAGATCTGTATGATATTGTGAACTTTCCTTGTGTTTTTCTAGGCAGAAGAGCTTTTTCTCTGGGTTCCCAGAAAATTGTTGATGACTGTTGAATCAGCGAAAAATTCAGTTTTGGGTAAGAGAAGATTTTGAATGCGTTTGCAGATGTGCAAAGGGTGTATTGATGGAAAGTTCTCCACTAGCAAAATGATGAAAATTGTCAGTTCGAATTGTCTAGTGGGCTTATTACAATGCTTGAACAATGTATCATATTTATTATTATTTATTGAACTGGGGTGTATGGGGAGGGGTAGTACCTCTGGTGGGGGACACTTCATACTTCTTCTGGGGTAGTTTGTCTACCTTTGGTCCCTACCATGCTCTCACCTGTGGCTTCTAGAAGCTGTTGGCATGCAGCAGCGGCCACAGCCAGGAAACAGCTTTGACTGGCTGGCTAAACCATGTACGGGTAGCCGATGGGTCTCAAACCCTCAGTGAGTTTAGGTATTCCCTTGCATGCAAAGACAGACTCTGGAAGATTGAGTGGATGATACCTATAGTGAGTCCAACAGTCAATAACAACAACAACAACAACAACAACAACAACAACAACAACAACAACAACAACAACAATAATAATAATAATAATAATAATAATTTATTATTTATACCCCGCCCATCTGGCTGAGTTTCCCCAGCCACTCTGGGCGGCTCCCAATCAGTGTTAAAAACAGTACAGCATTACATATTAAAAACTTCCCTGAACAGGGCTGCCTTCAGATGTCTTCTGAATGTCAGGTAATTATTTATCTCTTTGACATCTGATGGGAGGGCGTTCCGCAGGGCGGGCGCCACTACCGAGAAGGCCCTCTGTCTGGTTCCCTGTAGCCTCACTTCTCGCAATGAGGGAACCGCCAGAAGGCCCTCGGCGCTGGATCTCAGTGTCCGGGCTGAACGACGGGGGTGGAGACGCTCCTTCAGGTATACAGGACCAAGGCCGTTTAGGGCTTTAAAGGTCAGCACCAACACTTTGAATCATGCTCGGAAACGTACTGGGAGCAGCAGATGGTTCCTACACGTGAGAAGCAAATGGGTCTTGTCAACTAGGAAGGTAGCCCATCTAGCAGAAAGAAAACTCTGGTCCTAAACCTCTGCTGCCTTGTGGGATATCTTCAGGAGAGGAGAGGGCTAAGGAGTAAACCCTAAACAAATATGGAGTGGAGTCCCTAAGATGGTTGGATGGCACCTTGTACGCCTCCTTCTGAAAAACTCCTGCTGCCAAGCTGGTGCCAAATGTATTGCTCTGCTTTCTTTTATCAGCAAGGCCAAGAGGGGTGTCTTGTTATCTGGGCAGCCCAGGACCTGCATACACACTGCCCAGGCTTGCGCTCCAGGGAGGTCACTTCAGTGCTGCTAACACAGCGGTTTGGTTTCACCTCTGGAGGCACGCTTTGTTTTCTCTTGAGACAGATGGATGCCAACTAATTTATTGAAATTGCCATTTTTAGATCAGTTTAAAGGTTACAGGAAAGTTACAGAAAGTCTATAATAGGAAGTAAACAAAATTCATGCAATTGCAAGACGTACTTATTTTGTTAAAGTTTTCTTTCTTACAAAAATCACTTAATATGCACTTAGGAATCCTGTTTGGGGGACTAAAATTTCTTTATGGGTTCTTTTCCTTTTTTAGGATCCTTGTATTCTCAAGACCGAATTCTCCAAGCCATGGGCAACATCACGCTAGCATTCCACCTTCTTTGTGAACGCTGCAATCCTAGTTCTTTCTGGCTGCCTTACATCCAAACTCTCCCAAGTGAATACAATACTCCTCTTTACTTTGAAGAAGATGAGGTTCAATATCTTCAGTCAACTCAGGCCATACATGACGTTTTCAGCCAATATAAAAATACTGCTCGACAGTATGCCTATTTCTACAAAGTTATTCAGGTAAGAGCCTGGAACAGACACTGGTTCCTATGAGGACCATAGCAAAGTAGAACTCTGACATTTTTAAAAGGCTTGTTAAGTGGCCTAAAGTTCTAAGTACCACAGTACCAATGCTAACCTGATTACTTTTTTTACCATTGCTTATACTGGCAGAATGCTGTTGCTATGATAGTTGTTGTGTGTGGAGGTGGTGGTTATATATGGAAGGACCTCTGATAGAAGTGCAGTACATCGTCTTGTTCTGAGTGCACACATGCGACATACATTTTGGGATAGCTCTTTAGTGTTATTGGAAGAGGGTAGATTTTGCCACCATCAGTCAGCAGTGTCGCAAGTGCACCATTTTATTTTCTCTATAGTGGATACCTGATTAATACTACTTTTTGCCCCTGGTGTGTCTAGCCTTTAGATGTCTGCATAAACCTATCTTGGGTTGTTGTGATGGAATTTTGAGAATCACTCAAAATGTGCTATATCTGTTTCCTGCAGAAGATACTTTGTAGTGAACGGGAAGGGCTTCATTTTCCTTTGTTCACATGTGCAAAATGATCTGAAAATGATTGCGATCATCTGGCATGCACTTGTGAAATTTTGTGTTCATTTTTAGTGAAAAATCTTTAGCCTGTAAGGTTGCTGACGTACTTCAGATGATATAGAGTGTAATGGCAATAATTCAGTTGTTTGCAGAGCTCATTCATTCTCATGTATGACTCTTCGTTTGTAGCCTTCACCCTGCTCCCCACCCCCCGAATATATACCTAATTCCTTTTGGTAACATATATATTTCCTCTTAAGGAAGTACTGTAGCTCAGTGGTAGATCACATGAATTCACATGCAAAAGATCCCAAGTTCAGTCCTGGGCATCTCCAGCTGGATCTGGGTAGGACTCCTGTGTGAATTCTGGAGAGCCACTAGCAATCATTATAGACAATATTGAGCTCTATGGAACAGTGATCTGGCTTTGTGTAAGGCAGTTTCAATGTTCCTCTACTTATTTTACTGTTATTTTATGAAGAGTATGCTCATGCTTATGATCTTAAAAGTGCTTTACTTCAGTAGTAAAATACTTCACTTGTGTATCTCCTGTCCTGTCATCTTAGTTAGTAAACTGAGTTAGCTGTTTAGACACTACAAGTATTGAGTAAATTTTCTGCTGGAGTAAACTACGGCCTTTTTAAACCATGATAAAAAGGCAACAAAACCCAGACACCATATAATTTTACTTCATGCAGTCTAAACACAACCAGTATCTCGCTATCTAGATTTTTATCACCCCTGTAGCTCTCTTCTGTATCTTTTTTTCAGGGTAGCCAAATTCGTAATGAACTGTGGAGTCCCATTTTTATACAAACTGTACCAGATAATATCTTCAAAGTACTAAGTAGTGTTGTTGCTTCTTAACTCTTTGAAGTGGCTGGGGTTCAAAGAGGGTACATGAATGAGCAGGAAAGAACTATAGGCTCAGTCTCGGAGCTTTGCTCACTTTGTCTCTTTTTTGCTGTAGTTGCTTTTTTGCTCTGTAGAAGAGGCAGACAATCACTTAGTTTTAGAGGCATGGAAACAGCTACATCATAGAGTAAGCAACCCTTTGGCTGCAGGTAAAGTTCTCTCCTGTGTGTTCACGTGTTGACTTTCATTCCTGACCATAGTTCCTATAGTCATAATCCTATTTCAGAACCTACACCCCAGTATTCACACCGATGTGTAGATCAGGGATTCCAAAACTGTGGTCCATGAATTTCATTCGCGTGGTCTGCAGTATACCCGCATTAAATATTCATCTTGTATTTTTATTGCTTCTTTATTTCTATTTTGTTTTATTGTATTGCATTTTAATTTGCAAATTTTAATTAAAAAAATAAGAAATAAAAGAAGCAATAAAAATACAGTTAAAAATCATTCATCTAGTATAGGACATTACAGTTGCTACAACAGGCAGAAAAATCATTGAGTTGGCTACCAAGATAATTAACAGTTTTTAAGTAGCCTGTAGAGTGGGAAGTTTGGGAACTACTGGGTAGGTAATCTAGATAGAAAAGCAGCTTTGTAGTGGCCTACCTGCCAGCTCCCTGGGCAAAAGTATCACAGCTACTGCTGTGAAACCATTGCATCAGGAGCTCATCTGGGGCTGAGTGTCTCTGCACAGTAGTACTATTGATCCCTAGCTCCTTCTTTCTTGACAGCTCTGTAGAGCTGACAAGCTAGTGGACTCTTTTGAGGAGGCAGGTTTGTGGGGGAGGAGAGAACATTTTCAGTTCTGAAAATGGCATTTGTTTCTTGTAACACAGCATCGTCTGTTCTCAATCTGTATACATTTTCCTTATGAGTGTTCCTTTCTTAGACCTATGTCTTACCCTTGTCACACATAGCATTTCATAGCCACAGATGTAATGTAGCTGCCTGTGAGTAATCAAGGCATTATATTGTTAACACTATGGAAAAAGTGTAATTCAGGTAAAGTGTACTGGCAGAACATCTTCTCAGACATCATTTTGTGGCTCCTTAAAAATCAGGCAAAGATTTCTTAGGTAGTTATTCAGCCTTCATCAGTCCTTTATTGCACAGAAATGTTTCCAATATACAGATGGGTGTACCATGCAGCAGTGTGTTTCAGCCATCAATGTTTAATGGAACAAAATCTCTGCTGAAACATAATCTACTTCCTGCCTGTCTTTATTGAATTGTAATATCTAGTTACAATTATTTAGAATGTTTTTTTAATATTTTAAAATTAAAGTTTTGTACTTAATGTTGTCATAAAAGCCACTTCGAAAGGTAGGCTAGACAAAATAGTCCCAGTTTGCCTTTAAAGCTATGTGAGTGGTTTTGTTTTGTTTTTTTACAGAGGATATGAAAAATATCAACACTAGGTTTCCATAGTACTGAGTAAATCCGTTATTTCATTTCAAGAGCTATGTTTATACAAAAACTGTCTTGTTTCTTTGCTTCAGGAGTCTAGGTTGCTCTAAAGTTGTAATAGTACCACTAGGTGGTATTTATAATTTGGGGAGTTCAAACCATGTCTGGACAATTCTTAAAAGGTTAAAAAGGTAAAGGAATCCTGGACAGTTAAGTCCAGTCAAAGGCGACTATGGGGTTGCGGCGCTCATCTCACTTTCAGGCCAAGGGAGGTAGTGTTTGTCCACAGACAGCTTTACGGGTCATGTGGCCAGCAGGACTAAACTGCTTTTGGCGCAACGGAATACCGTGACGGAAACCAGAGTGCACAGAAATGCCTTTTACCTTCCCACCACAGCAGTACCTATTTATCTACTTGCACTGGCATGCTTTAAGGCTGCTAGGTTGGCAGGAACTGGGACAGAGCAATGGGACCTGACCCTGTTGCGGGGATTCGAACCGCCGACCTTCTGATCGGCAGGCCCAAGAGGCTCAGTGGTTTAGCCTACAGCGCCACCCGCGTCCCTATGGACAATTCTTATATTATTGTATGAAGGGTTAGATTTAGATTTCTTCCATTGGGAACAGAAGGTACTATATTAATGAGATGCAAATGTCACAGATAAGCTCCAGCATTATTATTAAAACTGGCAACGTTAGGCATCTAACACTGCATTAACTGATAGGCTAACCAATCTTCATGCCTGCCATATGTTACCCTAGTGCAAAGTTAGTAAAGTTTACCACTAAATGGCATGATAGCTAATTTATAATTTACATGTACTACTGACATTCAAGAGGACAGAGGTGTGATCATCATCTTGCCAGAATTTCCAAGTGAGAGATGTACTTGGGAGGAATAATGGGGTGTCTGTATGTTCTTTAAGAGGGACCTGTTAAAATGCATATTGCACCTAAAGTTCAACTCTTCTTATGCTCATGCTCTTATGGCCTAGCTGCTGTTGCATCATTTAAAAAAACAACCCCAATCTACTAACCTCTTACCCATATGAGATTCAGTCATATATCAGTCCCTATAATAGTGAACTCAGGTGGTGTGTGCTGACGGAGATGGGGCCACTGAGAAACAATAAAGAAGTATCAGCAGAGTCTGAAGAATGCTGAGATTTGTTGAAATACTAACAATATTTTTATAGCCTAAGGGAGCGAAAGAACAAAACACAAACAGTCCAGTGATGACAGAGCATGCTGGAAAGGAGAGACATTAAAGCAGGGATGGGTAGAGATGGTCTGCTGGAAGAGAGCATGGCTAACTGGCTGGAGCTCTGAACAAGAACATTTTGTGGCAGCTAAGAGATAGAGCTACTAATCAGGAAGCCCGTGATTTGAATCTGAGCCATTCTTTCCCATATCTCCCGCCCCACCCCCCCAAAACCCCAAGCCACCTGTAGATGGGGAATAATACTGATTTATCTTACAGGGCCGTTGTAAGGATTGCAATTAGATATGCACATGGAGCATTTCAAACACCTGAAAGTGCTTTACAGATTTCAAGCATTGTTGTTGCTGTCTAATGAATTGTGCCATATCTCGTTGGAAATCCAAGGGGTTGTATGAGAGGCAACTAGTACTACTTTAAAAAATGCATGCTTTCCATCAGCTGGCAAATAAATACATAGTATCTTATCTCCTCCTGCTCTCACAAAGACCCTGTGATAATGACTGGCATAGGTTTTAAAAAAAGAAAAACTAAAAATGCAAAATCAAGCATAGGACAAAATCACCACAGAAAACAGGTATGAAATCAGTGGCATAGTTGAGTTTCAAGGCTGACCTGAGTCCAAGTTCAGCACTCTCTCCTGCACCACGGTGGCTTTTTGTAAAGTAAAGTGATGGCATTTTGAGGTATTCTTTTGAGATGTGTTATGTTTGCTTGGTAGCCAGTAATCGCTTCTTCATGAGAGCAGAGGGGAGGTTTAGAAGAGGGCTGTTTTCAGCTGAGCTCTACCTGTCTCTAAGTAGTCTGAATGTTCATGAAGATGGCAGAGACTACTTCCTTTTACAGTTGCTCCCAGCTGAATATTAGTCTGGTTTGACAACTAAACACAGGTGCATCGCTGGCCTGCCAGAAATAGCCCAT